GGGAAGAGGGGCCAGTTTATACAAGAAACAAATGGGAGAATAGCAGCTCTGTCACAGATTTGTGAAACGATGACATTTTGTTCACCAAATGTATTCAACCACGCATGGCAACCAAAGCGGCTTTACACAGTAACGTTTCCCTGACTTTGTCCCCATTCGCTCCAAAAACAGAAATTTCAGACCCACGCGAACATTTCAAAACTTATACGGTTGAAGTAGTAAGTGCCACAGTTTCAGAACCGTCTGAGGGAACCAAGGTTGATAAACCAATGTCTTTACTTCGAAATATATGAGGGATGGTTTCCAGAGTATGCAGGTCAACATTCTGCCATGCGAAACTGGTAATGAATATCTAATTTTGCATTGCAAATCGTTGGAATCCAATGAGAAAAAGCTTGACGTCCAACCTAGTCTTATACATGTGGTCGAAATAAAGTATGACTTGCGCAGTTAGCCTACTCCCGACCGACATGTGGTCTGGTCCGGAGTGAGTGTGGTGGAAGGCTGGGCTCGCTGTGGTTGCGTTTGGGGACAAACTGCCCCGCCACTACTTCTGAAGGATCTTCTGAACCAATGACACTGGCTCGGTGGAACACTGACTGGGCCAAGCCAGCCCAACATAGCTGGCACCTGGACCACAAAAGACTTCGTTGTGCACGTGATCGAGCAACGCTGCTGTGCCCAACCACGCTCTGCAGGTTGTGTGGCATTTGTTGAACACAAGGCTCCGGCTAAAAAGGTAATTACCCTTAATGCCGAGAAATTAAGACTTGTTCCTAACCTGGTTCCGTTTTTTTTGCGCAGTAATGTTTTCTTGATTCCGTCCTCCTAACGGAATACTTTTCGTGTGATTCCTTGAGATTAGGGGCTACTTTTCTTTGATTCCGTACAAAGTGCAACAGTAGTAGGAGATCTGCTCGTATCACCCCTTCCTAACCTCCCTTACAGTTTCCCCAGCTTCCTCCGCTAAGCAAAGAGAGAGGTTGTTAGTGGGAATTTTTTGAACTTTTCCAAATTGCTCGAGACATATTATGTGCGAGAAAGAGTTCCTGGGGGTTCTAGGGCTTTTCTTTAGCTGTGGTGAAGGCCATTTGTCTTCGACGGATCCGTATGCTAACGGGTAAATTCTCGGCGATTCAGTCCGCTAACGGGTAATTTTGGGGCCGATTCCGTGACCTTAAGGAATACCCTAGGCTTAGCGAGAGCCCTGGTTGAACACCCCGGCCACATGCTGGCACGCTCTGTGGTGGGGGATGAGTCGTCGCGTCGCGAGCACCGCCACCGACCAAGTGATAAGGTATCAACCTGGGCCTAAAAGGTTTTCAGGTGCCCATCGCTGTTATGAATTATAACTCAGAGTATAGCGCAAAATACTATAGGGGAAAGTGATTACAGAATGTGTCGATACAAATGAGGCCTAGGGCTTATATAGTGCGAGTTGACCAGGTTGAATGTCGAGGGTTGGACCAGTCAAGAGCTCGACAGTCCCGAGGGTGACGGGGTCAAAATGGGTTCGGGGCGACTCGGGATCAGGTTGGGGCCGAAAAGGTCGACGGGGGCTGGTTTGGCGCGAGAACCAAGGGCCGAGTCTGTGGACGCGCACTGTTTGCGTGTACTCGCTGTAGCGAGCCCTAGTAAGGAATCGTAATCCCTTACACTCTCCCACCTTCTAAAGGAAGGCCCTCCCTTTATTGAGGACGAACAGTCATTACAAGTAATCCCCGATGTGACTGTAAGTCTTCAGGCTTGTGACGAGCGTAATGATTATGTTGGCCTGACGAAGTCTTGAGGTCAAACTGCAATCGATGGTCAGAAAGCGCCGAAACGATCGCTTTTAGTCTCGGCAGCCGAAGATGGTCGAACTCTTCTGGTGACCAAACGGGCAAGGGTAAATACTCCAGCGGAAGACAATGAACAGTGAAACTTGTCGAGTGGTCGATTGACGATGGCACGTGGCAGATGGCTATCCCGAGTAATGGTGAACTGTCGAATGACGTGGATTGTCGGATGACGAGGACCTGTTCATCAACGCGCGAGGTCGTTCGTGTCACATGCGAGAGCACACATCTGTGTCCCACGAAAGTCAGCGAACTCCATCAACGAAAAGATGATATCAGGTGCAGAAGCGTAACGGTGGCGAATGATGCTCGAAGTTGGATGATGGAATACGCCGAAGGGTCAGACAAAAATTGCACCACAGCTGCGCTTCTCCCCCCTTCAAGAAGAAACGGCTCCCAGTTTCCCAGGTAAAGCTCCAGGAAAATCTAATGCTCCAGGGTAGGCGAAAGAATCCTACATTGCTGCTGAAAAGTCCCATCACTCTGCTTCTACGATGTCGCAACAATAAACCCCAGCCACTAAAAATGCGAATCAGGATGACTTCAAAATCCGCTCCACGTAAATTGTCTTCAGAGTAAAATGCGTCGAAGGTCTGGAAATTCTGCAACTCCAGTAGTAGACTCCCACACGAACTCAAAAATCTTTAGAAGTCAAACAACACTTACGAGCTGGCCCCAACACAGCTCCAACAGTACTGCTACCAGATTTCCTGTAAATCCGATACTGCGGTTGTCGATTCGGATGGCGAGGGGGGGTCGTGTTCACACTATCGAGCGAAGCACGCGAATTGACGATGGAGGCGGTAGCGGGTAGTGACGAGAGGAAGACGACCATGGCGATGACCTGTAACCTATACTGAACCACTCCTATGACTATCCTCGAACAGAACCCGGGGTCTAATGCCACCAGCTGCATCAGCTACTTTGTCCGTACACGCCGAAAAAATTGGGAAGAGGCGAAACAGCTGCTGCGCTTCTCCTCCTCTATGCACCCAAAATATTCCGAGAATATCGGTCAATGTCGCTCGTACCCCTGGAGATAGCGGGCACAACTCCAGCTGTAAACTCTCGAACTGCTCCTCAAACCCACCAAAAATGTCGGAACTCCATCGATGCTTAACCAAAGCTGCAACTCTGCTTCACAGCTACCCGTAAAAATTCCCAGGCATCACGGCGTCCTTTAGCAGCGTCCCTACGGTTTCTCCACCAGCTGTACGCATAAACTGAACCCTGTATCTTAGGGTTCACTGGAGTCCACCACCTCGGCATGATGTTTTGGCTGTCGATCGGGGTCAATGTGCATCATACACCGTCGATCTCCGCCCAGCTGTTACCCAACTTTAAAATACTCTGGTGCCCCTGCCAGCTGGCCGTGCAGACGTTCACCCGTCTCGCAACTGCTTCAGATTACCCGGAACCGCTTCAGGTTACCCGGAACCGCTTCAGGTTACCTGGAACCGCTTCGCTGCTGCTTAACTAATTAGGAGAATCCGCAGAGATAGGAGTGCGCACGCTTTTAGTCAGAGGAGCTTTAACGAGCTCGCCTAATGACCGCTGGATAGCTCCCTCCTCCGTCGGAAACTCGTCAAACTACACCCGCAAAATTCGGAACCTCCTTCAGCTGCACCAGGTGAAACCTTCAGCTCCGCAGCAACAGTAACTCCTAAAATTTCGGGGACACTCCATCAGCACAGTGTTGTTCGCATGTTCACCCCCCTTATTCAGTCAGAAGCCGTCGAATAATAAGTCGACACTGCTACCTGGTGGGAATGGTGATTTCCGGGTGACGTAGCTGAGCGAGTAGCAGCCCGAACACCGCTAACCCATCCGCTCCAGTACTCCCGTCGTTCTTCTCCCACTCCTTCAACTCCTGACAGTTAACGCATTCGGCGACTGTTGGAAAAACACTTAATACACACCCAGGGGTGGTGGCCTCTGCTTTCGTTGATCGTGGGGGTATGAATCGCTGGTCCACGAAAAACGCCTCCCCACGTGGAAGTTGCCCTCACTGAGTAGACTCACTCCAGCACAGCATCATCACCTCCAGATGGCCGTTGTGGTGAATAGCGCCGAGGTCGTTAATCCCAGCTGCTCCCACACAACTGCACATCCACACGTCTTCGTGCGATCGTGTCGTTCCGAAACTGTCGGATCCGCCCATTGCTGAAACAGTTTTGAAGTCCCGTCCATCGTCTGCAACTAGCCTGCCGGAAACGCTGGGACCCGCGACACAGCTACAATTCACCTTGCAGCTTCATAGCGCGCCAGACGTACATCGCCGTACATCCCGCCATTTTCGCCACCCCGCACGCTCCTGACGACCAACTCCCGGCCGCCTGAGGACTCCCATGCACTTGTCTTCTCCTCATGACGAAGCCTTTGCTAATTTTATTCGGAAGCCAATCCGAAGACTCCGTCCGAACTCCCGAAAATTACGAAAGCTCAAACGAACATACTCGAAAAACATGGCGGAAAAGTCGCCCACTCTTCGACGGGAAATAATTCCGTCTACGACCAGGGAAGGGGAGGACCGGCCAATCCCAGCCGTGCATCGGACAGGATCTGACGGCATCGGCAACGCCCGCGCAATTAATTTCTGCAACGTCTGCTCGCCATCAGCATCCTTCCGCCCCCTTCCCCGATAGGGTCTGCTCCCCTACCGGAAGCCTAATGGGCAGGAACGTAGCTCTGATACCAGCTGTTACAAATTATAACTCAGAGTATAGCGCAAAATACTATAGGGGAAAGTGATTACAGAATGTGTCGATAGAAATGAGGCCTAGGGCTTATATAGTGCAAGTTGACCAGGTTGAATGTCGAGGGTTGGACCAGTCAAGGGCTCGACAATCTCGAGGGTGACGGGGTCAAAATGGGTTCGGGGCGACTCGGGATCAGGTTGGGGCCGAAAAGGTCGACGGGGGCTGGTTTGGCGCGAGAACCAAGGGCCGAGTCTGCGGACGCGCACTGTTCGCGTGTACTCGCTGTGGCGAGCCCCAGTAAGGAATCGTAATTCCTTAAAATCGCACAATTGCAGATCTTGCTGAACCTACTTTGAAAATGCGTTACAAGAGCCCCTTTACTGCACCCAGCGTCATGAAATCCAGGGTTACTATTTATCATATACATCACCTAGCCTTGCCTCAATGTCTCATCTCATGTAAGTTGGTACACGGCCCTTTATGTCATGTCACAAAACATATTGAGAGGAATGGATACTGCACATAGGGTGGAATATTCCATACATTTTCCACACATATGTAATGGAAGTATGCATATTGCAATTGGCCTACATCCAATTCTTAGACTTTGCACGCCAAGTTGATGCTTGCAGACCCCCTGCAATGGTATCATATAAGGACATGCAAACAGGATGAGAGATGTGAAGCCTCATGATGAGAGATGTAAAAGGAATCAATCAGAAGAGATAATGCACACCCATAAACTTACTCGTTCCGACCATGGTCGGCAAGGATCTTGGAGGATCCTGAGTAGGAGTGGGCCCATATTATGTTGTTCATGCCTGCATAGTTGATTGGTGAGATGCCTGTCTTGCCACTCCGGGTGAATCTGTGAATGTTAGGAGGTGAAATAATGGGAGTGTGTTGGAGCCTCGTCGAAAGCCAAGAGTGGTTGCTTTGAGGGGAAGAGCACACCACGGGATTGTGTTAGCATCAGCCAGCAACATCACCAGCCTAATTAGGCTTGCCCCAAAATATCAGCAAATGGCTTTCACGTGCGTATCTGAGTGGGCGTCGGTTATCAGTGGCAGTTGTCGCAGCCAACATGAGAACCGATACGTTACTCACTACTACTAATACGTCGTCCGACAAGGAATTCCAACTCAACTCACTTGATAATCGTGGCCGACGCAGTGCTCGTAACCGACGTCTCCGTTACTCTGAACGCGGACGACGGCACAACCGACGATGTGCTGTAGCCTTTCATGGCATACGCCTTCACACGAGTCGGCGCCGGGAGATTCCCTACGACGGCATCTGCAGGGTACATCTGCCCTGCGCTCCGAGTCCATCCGATGGAGATCCACCCATTCTTCGCCCCGCCGCCTGCCTGCGCAACGATTGCGCCGTAGAGCGTCGTTCCGACGATTTTCCAGTGGAATTGGAGCCTGATGAGACAGGGAACCGGATTTAAGAGAAATGAGGAAAAATAGAGACGAAACCATGAAGCTATGTTCAAAGTTTAGGAGCACAGGGAAATCCCAACTTCGTCAAAGAGAAATATGATGCCTTATAGGGTTGATTGTCACGTTACAAGCTACGGTGCATTTTAGGGTTGCCTTGTCGTAATGTCCGTTACTGAAGCGCTTTGAGGAGGATAAACAAGCTGAAAAGACGGCATTGATGCAGGAAAACCTTACCGAGTCTGCACTTTCGCGTGAAATACTACGGATCGACCATGTCATTGTGAAACTAGAACTTACTTCGGCTTGAGAGTAACTTTCTTCGCGAAGCCAGCGAGCGTCGACTTGCTGCACGCCAGAGCGGCCGTGCGGTACTGAGTGCCGTTCATCGGCGCGCTCACAGACGCTGTCCCTGCCGCTGCTGCTGTTGCAGCCGTCGTTGCCGCCGCTGGTGCTGCCGCTGCAAGGGCTACTTGGAATGCCGCTGCTAAGGTAACCGTCACAATGAGCGCTGAAAGTAGCGGTGCGAATCTGAAAGCTAAGAGATCCATTGGAGGGGAGGATATGGTAACTTGAGGCGAAGGTGGGGAGCAGAAACCGTTTATGGGAGGGAGAACCACTTCAGGAATGAACTACCCCAGTAGCAACCACGGCTGGCTAGTTTCAAAAGCAAGTGGGGTTGTTGCATCAGCTGAATGTGCGAAGCTTTGGGTTGGGTTGGAATGATCTGAATGTTGAGATGATCTGCTACGACTGTAAATACCAAAACCGAGACGCAATTCAAACTCTCAATCCGTGAACTTTGTTGCTGCGACAAGCCGCACTCAGTCGGTGGGCCAATCAATGCAGCGAAATTCACCGACGGAAATCCTCACCGTGAAATTTTACCTGTCGCGTGCCACACTTCCCCAGTTCAACCTTTGCCGCATCATGCGAAATTTGAGCCAATTGTGGACTTCGCAGCAATCAAATGGCGAAAGTCTGACAGTGAGACCCGTCAACGAAGATCAGTTGACACCTGACGCGGAAGCTTGTTGAAGTCTGATGTGGCACTAACTGTAATCGGATTGGAGGAAACGAGGAGCCGCGACGTCGGTGGGGGTCTTCAGAAGTCCACGAAGGTGGAATTCTGGGGACGTGGCGAATGACCTTTTCCCTACACCAACATTTTTAGTCAACCCTAGATGAAAGGTAAATTCAAAGTGAAAGTATCCAACAACTTCAAGGTTCAACTCCGTTGAACCTTCAAGGGGGTTCACGAAAATAGCGAGGGTCGCAACCTCCAAAAAACCTGGCACACCCCACGCAAAAGGGCTCTCGCGGCCAATGCCTGACACCCGCGAACACTGGCAAATCGCAGGGGTGTGTTAGCTCGACAGGAAGGGCGGGGGATTGCGTGATAACCTAGGAGTGGAAAATAAACACCGGGACTTTGCATCCTATGTCAACAAATATAATTATAGTCTCGCTAGGTTATAATTTGTATATAGCCTTGTAGGTCAGTTCTTAGAGGGTACAGCCCTACTATTGTACCCCTCGACATTTTTCCTCGGTGAACTAACATGGTATACGGCTAGGTAGTTTCGGCATCTCACGCTTCCGCTAGTGTATCGATTTTTTAAATATTTTTTTCCGCACCTCGTGCTCTCAAATTTCGCGCTTCGTAGGTCCCCCTCCCCCAACACAGCGCTCGCTAGTTTTTCGTACGCCCACAAGCCAGCCAGCCAGCCAACTCACTCCCTCCCTCGCTAGCTAGCCAACCGCTAGCGCCAATTGCGTTAGCCTGCCGTTTCGCCCTTAGCCTATTGTTTCGCACCTGCTGTTCGCCACCAGCCCCAGCTAGCCTCTCATTTGTCTCGCTAGTCAGCTAACCGTCAGCAGAGCTCGCCAGCTCGCCGCCAGCAGAACTCGCTTGCTTGCCGCCAGTAGAGCTCGCCAGCGCGCCACCAACAGAGTTCGCTAGCTCGCCGCCAACAGAGCTCGCCAGCACGCCACCAACACAGCTCGCCAGCTTGCCGCCAGCAGAGCTCACCAGCGCGCCACCAACAGAGCTCGCCAACTCGCCGCCAGTAGAGCTTGCCAGCCGCCGCTGCCACGGACTCCCACTGCATCTCCTATCCGTGCTGCCGCCGCAGCTCCTGCTTCTGCCGCCTCAGTCTTCACGGCCGCAGCTGCCATCACTGTCTTCAGCATGGCATCGCCCAGTGTCTTCATTCTACACCTGGATGGGGAGGGGCGGGCGGTCGGTTTCGCCGCCTGGCAGGAGGCAGTTCTCCTGCAGCTCACGAGTCAGCACATCGATGACCAGTCATTGGATGCCTACGTCACTGGTAAGCTCCCTTCTGTCCCCTGCCCGGGTGCTCTTACTACTGACGCGACATCTGCGCATCAGACTGCACACGCTGCTGCTCGTTCCGCCTACTTTGTCTGGGTGTCTCGCGATGCCATTGCTCGTGTCGCCATCCTTACGTGCCAGCCGGTTGACGAGCACTCTCACTTTGTGGGTGTTGCGTTAGCCCGCGCCCTCTGGCTGGCCATCCTTGCTAGGTACTCCACCCCTTCGTTTGCCACTCTTGGTCTTCTCCACCTCCCTTCTTCCACCCCGACCTGTCTTCCTTCACCACTGTAGCAGACTTACTCTAGTCGAGCACTTGTGTGCCCTCGAGGCCCGCTGGCGTGTGGCTTGTGCTGAGGCCCAGCTGGCGCTCGCCCCGCCCCTCCTCTTTGCCACTATCTACTTCCTTGTCACCCGCCTCCCTGGCCGCATTGCCCCTGCACACGACGCACTCCTCGCTCGTCACCCCTCTGAGCTCACCCTTCATCTCTTTTCGACCTCCCTGACTGAGATAGAGGACCGCCTCCATGCCATTCTTGGTTACATTGGCGCGTCGACAGTCCATATCTTATAGAGCATTGCTCCCTCCTGTGTGATTATCCCTCCTGCCTCCACCTCCGCCTCCATAGCCGAGACTGCAGCGGGTGCCTCTGCCCCCGGCCGCTCCGCTGGCTGCAAGGGTCGTAGGGGGTCAGCAGCAGCGGGTAGAGGGGGTGCGGGTGTGGACGGAGAGGGTGGTCATGGTGGAGGTCGTGGTGGAGGTCGTGGGGATTGGGGCACAGGGCAGTCGGTGCTCTGGGGGTCACGTGGCTCTACTCTGAGCCAGGGTGCTGGTGGTTCTGGCGGCGTAGTAACCAACGCGTACCAGCTGCTAACTGACCCGCAGGTGAGCCAGGTGTGCGGGCGCGCGGGGAGCACCGCTGCTCGCTGCTTCCGCCGCCTGGACGACCTCTACCGTCGTCATTTTGGCCCGCTGGTGTAGGTACCCGCCTGGCCTATCTTGCTTTGTCGTGGGGTTCCTATCTTCGACATGGATACGTTTCGGATCAATTATTCATTGTATTCTCTGTATTTTGATGCTTCTAGTATTGCTCGTTCTTATTACAAAATTTTGTTGTTTGTAGCCTAACAGTTACTGCTGTGTATAGTCTAGGATCCCTTGCTGCGTCAAGCGTAGAATCCCCTGCTGGGTCAGGAGTAGGATGTGTTGGAGACTCTTCACTGGGCCCCGCCATGTCTGGCGCATCCCGTTGCTTCTTTCGAGACAGTACAGCCCTCACCCCGCTTCCTGCGCCTGTCCGCGTCGCACTATCAGACTACTCCCCTACAGCTCTCACACATACTCTCCCCTGTCCATCTGTCTCCTTTGGCTCCCTCACCGGTCTGCACATCCCCTCATTTGCCAGGAACCTAGTGGGTGTCGGTCACCTCCAGGACCGAGGCGTCACCACTACGTTCCTTGGCCGCGAAAAACACGCAGCTTGCACAGACACAGCCGCCGGTCACCACTTAACCTCTTTTGAGCATAACCAAGGGTCAGGTCTCTTTACACTGCACACTGAGTCCCCGCCAACCGTTGCGTCTGCCGAGGTTGTTGCTCACTAGCCCACCCGACCCTTCTATGGCACCATCGCTTAGGTCACCCTACACTCCCGCGTCTTAGGCACATGCCCCAGCACGATCTAGTCACTGGTCTCCCTGCGCCGCTCCCCGCCCTGCCTACGTCTATAGCACTAAAGTGCACCTCATGCATCGAGGGCCGACAACGCGCCGCTCATCACTCCTCATTATTTCCTTCTATCACAGTGCCGCTACAGATACTACACATGGACGTCTAGGGCCCTGCCCTCGTCCATGGTCTTAGTGGGGAGTGCTACTTCCTAGTCATCGTTGACAACTTCTTGCGCTTCACCACAGTGTTCCCGTTGGAGAGGAAGGTCGACGTGCCTACCACTCTCCTCCCGTGGCTTCTCGCTGTTTGCACCCACCACCGCCTGCCTGTAGGTCACTTACTCTATGACCGTGGTGGCAAGTTTGCGTCTGACACTCTAGGACAGTTCTGTCGTGCGGAGGGCATCCACTAGACGTACTCACTACCGGACTCCCCAGAGCAAAATGGGGTTGCTGAGTGATGCATCGGCGTGGTGATGGAGGTAGCCCGCACATCCATGGTCCACGCCGGTGCACCCCGTTTTCGGTGGTCGTTCACTGTACGCTACGTTGCTCACTAGCTTAACCTGTGGCCCCGCTCCCAGCGACCACAGGTTTCGCCGACCCTTCTCTGGACTGGGTCTCCTGGTGACACGTCTGCGTTCCACGTCTAGGGCAGCCTTCCTCACGTCCGCAACACTAGCCCGGACAAGCTCTCTGCCCGTACACTTCCTTGTGACTGACTGGGGTTTTCGCTTCACGCCCCAGACTGGCTGTTCTACCACCCGTCACACCACCGCTTCTACAACTAAAATGATGTTTCTTTGACGAGACACTCCTCTACTACTGGTGCTTCCCGCACCGCAACGCTCCTCTGCCTCCTCCTCCTCTCTTCCTCGTCCCTGCCTCGCCTACTGCACCCCTCCAACCCCACCCGGCCCAGTTTCGTATCTCCCATGCCACAGAGTTCCCCTCGGTTGGGCCCGTGGGGGAGTCGGTTGACTATGGGGGCCCAGCTGCTGGGAGCGCGGCTGCTGTCCCTGTGGCGCCTCCCCCAGCCCCCATACCCCAGGCAACTCAGGTGCCTCCCCCCTTGCCTCCACAGCAGCAGCCGTCACCGCAGCCAACTGAGCAGCCGCAGCAGCAGCAGTAGGAGGGAGCAGTGGGCTCTGGGGGTGTTGGTTCTGGGGGTGCTGACTCTGGGGGTGCTGGTTCTGTGGGTGGTCCATCCAAGGAGTCTAGTCCTGGGGGGTGCTGTTTCGGGGAGTGCCGGTGGGAGCCGAGGTGCAGCTGGAGGTCCTGGAGAGGACAGGGAGCAGCGGCAGCAGCAGCAACAGCAGCAGCAGCCGCCGCAGCAGGAGCAACCTTTGTCTTGCTCCATGTTCCCCTGCACGCCCGCCGGTCCCTCCTCCAGTACGTGCCCTTGTTTACGGCCCGCTGTTCCCTCCTCGAGACTCCTTTCCAGCTCGGTTTTCCCCACGCTCTCCTCCATCCCCTGACTTGTCCCCCGTCCCCCCTTGTCCCCTGATCTTTCCCATTGGGTCTGTCGTCCCTCTTGTGCTTGTCCTGTCTCTCCTCATGCTAGTGTACACCCTATGGTCCTTCGTTCACATGCTCCTCTAGTCGCAGTCCTTTCATTACCTCCCAAGTTGGCACTTCCGTCGTCCTGCCCTCCTCGCTCTGACGCTGCTCGCATTGCTCGTCCAGTCCTCTCGCGCTTGCTTGCGTCACT